ACACAATTGGAAGTTTGTTAAAAACTGACAAGGTCACCTAGACAAAATTCTATTTGTTCAGAACTGTTGACTTGCTTGTGAAAAATTTTGGAAATGACTGGGAAGGAATTTTGAACTCATATTTTTATATCCTTATCCTATATATCACTTCTATATATCATCAAATTTTCAGTGGATTTGGTTGTGTTTATTTGCTGTTACAAAATCCACAAGTTCACTACTTCTAAAAAGCCAATTGCAGGACTTCCAAAACAAGCACAACATCTTCAAATGAGCATTTCACTCTTTCCTCTTTTAATTTCAGTAATTTTTTTTGTGTTTGATTTTTTTGATTGTTTGTTGAGTTTAAAAGAAGAAAAAGAAAAAAATTTCTTTGCTTTTATGTTTTAAGTAAAAAAAAATATTTCCATTCTTCTAGTGTCACTTGTTTTTGCATTCTAGAGCTTGCCCATGTGTCTCAATTTATCATGTTTCCTCAAAACTATAATTGAATGTACACCTCCTTATCACAACCAAATTCAAGCACAATACAATTTTAACCCACCTCATCAACAAAGAAATAAATATTGTGTGCATTGTGAGTCTCCTTACCATTTTTATTTTGAGTGTCCTTTTCTTGTAGGATATTCATCAACACATCATGAATCCTAAGAAGGAAATTGCTACTAAACAATTGGAGAACTTACATTTGCTCAAGACCATAGTGAAGGAAGTCCATATGATTGTCAAGATAATTACATGTGTCTTATGCAAGAATCACAAGGAATTTCCTTCTATGAAGAGGATTCAATTCAAGATAAAGTTTCAACGATCTAAGAAATGATGAGAAAAATTCAATATGATCTTCAATACATGAAGCAATCCATGGATGCCACATTAGAAAGAAATGATAAAGAGCTAGAACCATAAGAGGATTGTTGCCACATCTTACTTTTTATACTCTAAGTATGCCATTAAATAGTAAGAGGTTAATAAAATAGCACTTACAAAACATACGCAATGGAACTTTTAAAATAAATTTCTTAGCTACTCTTTAAAACCATACCCTTCTTTTTCTTGATTAATTAAACTCATCTTTACCTCTTTTAAAGCATGGTATACATAGAGAAGATAGATAAGGAAGATCAATCACTACCTAGCTCAGGACAATCTTTTAAAAAGAACTCTTCTTTTACACTTAATTATGTCCTTTGAGCTTTAATGTGATTTCCATCCTTATCTTTTTGATCTCTTTCTTTCTTAATTTAGTATGGCATGTTACTCTTTTTCCCTCACTACATACCTTTATCCTCTTATAACATTATGGTATACTTATGTGATACATTCATCAATGAATATTATAATATTTTTATGCCATAATCTACATGGCATCATAGTGTCCAAAGGATAGGTGGACTAAGTGTCCCCTAATACATACAAACTTAACCAATAGTAAACTTCTATCTACCTGCAAGCCACCCAACTTATACCTCAGCATTTCCTTTGTTAGTCCCATTAGTGCCTGAAAGGTTAGTCAAAGGGGATGAGATTTGGGGGAATCTTAGTAGCAAAACTATATAACTTAAGATTTACTCTTCAATGGAAATATCAGTTAGGCATGGTCTAGGTCTTGAATAAAATCTTAAGATTTACTCTTCAATGGAAAATAATTTCCAAGAGACCTTGTGCACCATAGACAACTCATAAACTCAAGAATTACATTGCTTTAGATTTGCCAATACATTTTCCAGATTTTAAATCCAAATTTGAAAATTCATAACTTATTCATTAAAAATTATATGAGCATAATTACGGTGTCCACTTAAAATAATTGAACTGAATTATTTTATAAAAATGTAAAGTGGACAATCCAACCTACATTTCTAGAATCACACATAAAGTTCAACTATATAAAATCTCTTCCTGTCACGTCCAAATTTTTAGCCTTAATTTGTTAAATTCATAACTAATTTTGTACATCTTTGATTTGGGTGAAACAGGACTCTTTTTAATAACATATCCTCTATTAATGTCCCAAATCTGGTGGTCAGATTCAAAATACAAATTTCAAAAACCACCACAAAATTAGGCAAACTTAAATCTAGACAGTGATGAACTTGTGTTTAAATCTCAAATATTAACTTAAGATTTAAATCTCATACATGTTCTTGGACACTTCCAACCTTAAATTCACACATACATCAAAATTATACAGCACTTCCCATTGTCCCAAAACTTCAAACAAGTCTAGAAATCAAGCTAGAAATTCATACAGCATAACACCCAAGACAAAAATAACATATACAAGCTTTTAATCTTATGGTTTTCATGAAGAATATCAACATGCATTGCCATATATATCTTAAACACTTACTTTTCCGCCATTTATAGCACCCAAACCCACGTTCAACATGAAGGAGAAAGAGATTGAGGAAGCAAACTCACATGCAAGCTTGAAACTAACGAAATTGAAGAGAACTTGAAGAAATTATGGTTTACCTTAGAATTTGGGCAAGGAACTTCAAAATCTCCCTCTTCCTCTTCTCCTTCTCTCTAAAATCCTTTCTTCCCCTCTCTCCCACTCTAAAGGGGCTGAACAAAATTGCAAATGGGTGGGAAAATTGTTGTCTTTACTTTAAGACAAAGTGGCTTCTTTAAAAAGACTCATTAATGTCATACTTGTAATTTGTGACTTGCATGGTGTCTTCTTTTAATCCTTTTTCCCCTTCCTTTTATTTAATTCAAATATGAATTTTGAATTATTTTTACACATGTGATGACAAGCAGCATGATCTTATGTTAGGTGTGGGGCCCACTTTGACTTCTTGGCAGACTTTTCAACTGTAGAGCCGACTGTCACCTTGTACTGATTCATTGGGAATCGTGTCTACCAGATGCATGCTTTTGCACGTACTTACATAAATTTGATTTGGATAATTTTCTCGGACATTTTACATAGGCTCGGCCTTGCCTCGTTTTGCATGCCAAAAAAACACTATACTCGTGTAAGTCTCTATCAAAGCATTTGGCCACTTGTAAAATATGTCCTTGATTTATGTGCATTAAAACAATATTTATTTCTCCTTACTCATACACATACATAATTTTCTCTTTCCACCGTAAATCATGCATTTAATTCTCTTTTCTCATTTCTTGTTAATTTCTTGCTACATAAAGCATGCACTCTAACTTTACTCATCATTATGTGCATTGGAGGTTTCTTATAAGGCATGCAATCACTTGCAGCTTACTTTATAGTATAGAATACCATACTTAGGCGCTTTTATGCTTATTCTAATTCATTAAATGTAGGATGCTATAAATTTTGAATTATCATGAGCTATCATTTGGTTGCCCCATATCATAGGCTTTAATTAAAAACTTAAATTAATTAAAAACTAATAGACTTATATTCTAATATTAATCATAAAAAATTAAAAATATAAAGGTGTTGTTCAGGTTTGTTTAAGATTCAAGAGGTAAAAAATCGAAACTTGAACCAAAATGTTTGGTTTTGAAATTTTAAAAAACCAAACCAAGCTTTATTAATAATCGGTTTGCTATGTTTTTACTGCATTAGTTCCGTTGAGTTTGGTGTGGTCGATTTAGTTCTGTTTTGAACATCCTGGTGTTTAATAGTATACACCAAAAGTCTCTTTTGGCAACCAATCATTTGAATTATTATGAAAACTTATTAACAACAACGCAGAATTAAATGACTTAATTTTTATATTTTCAAAAAAAAAATTTGCCCTTCCTCGTTGCCACAGAGGGATCGGAACAGTTTCGATCTATCCCCAATAAGGATTACATTGATGTTTGAATCCGTTGATATAATCATGACAAAAAAAATCCGTTGATGTAATCTCACAGAATGATTTTTTAAGGCATAGGTATATCCGGAAAAAAAAAATTTCTAATTTACCCAAGGCTTTTTGACACAAGTCACTAAAAGGGGCAAGAATATGTGTCCTCAACCAATAAAATTAAGGTGAATAATAAGAGTTCTTATCATTTAAATATATACTTGAGTGTTTGAAACTTAATCAATGACGGAATCACATACAAGTAAGGGTAGGCACATGCCCCCTCACTTGGAAAAATTACATTTACATCTAATAGATATAGAATTTAAAATTTCGCACTCTTCATTTTCATATTTTGCACCTCATCTTTTTAATATTTTAAACATTAAATTCATTTTATTTTTCCTATGGACTTAGAATCCAAACTTTTCAACTTTTTAACTTAAAGGCTGGTAACATAATAATTATGTATAATTAATTTTTTACTTATTAAATTATTTTTAAAATTATTAATTTCTTAAAGAATAAAATTGCCCCCTAACCGAGGGTGTGGCTCCATCATTATCCCAACTTTTTTATAAGTAACAATTTAGTTGAAAAAATTTACTATTTATCTTTTTTAGGTTAAAGTATATTTTTAATTTTCTAATTTTATATAAGATTTAATTTGGTCCTTTAATTTTAAAAAAGTATTTTCTTAGTCTTTTAACCCTAACATCATTTGTTTTAAAAGGTTATTTTTTATATCAGTCACTGTTATTTTTTAAAAAATAAACTTAATATGTTAACATTTAATAATATTTTGCCAATATTTAAAAGTTTAATATAAAAATTTATTAGGATAAAACTGACAGTATTAAGGTTAAAGGATTAAAAAGACACTTTATAAAATTAAGAACTAAAATAAAATGTTATGTAAAGTTAAAACATTAAATGTATACTTTAAACTCTATTTTATCGCAGAAAAATAATAATCTGTGTGCTGTTAATGAAATCTATTCCTTATATTATTTGAAAAAAAAAAATATGTATCATCGATCTCATCGCAAATTTAGGTTCATAGTCGATGCCCCCGAGCCAGCTGCATTGTTCACTCCGTCCTCCTTCTGTATATCTTATCCGTGTCTTCTCTTGTATGTTTACATTTCCTACTTGCCATTGGCACTGACTAACCCAGGAAGCATAATTTGCGAGAATTTAGGAAAACTTCCAATAATGGGTTCTCTTCCCTCATCATCACGACCGTCAGAAAATTTCCTTTGCAATTATCATATCTGCGTTGTGTTCTGCCCAAGAGAACCAACCTCAAGTGGTTGTGTCACCAACTGGATAGAGCTATTCAATCCATCCATTAACACGTGGACCGATGTCGGCTCTATTCCTGGCCTCATGGATGACCAAGTTTTGAAAGGCTTTTCCATGGTTTTCTTGAGAGACTCAATTTATATCATCGGAGGCCAAGTTTGTCACAAGGAGAGGGTTCATGTATCCGACGATATCGCTGACTGGGTTGATGTAGGCGTCCAGGTTGTACCTACAGTGCTACGTTACGACTTCCAAAGCAGCCAGTGGTCGAGCTGTGCACCTCTGGGTGTGGCAAGGTACAGTGACAAACTCAGGAAAATTTGGTAATAGAAGCAATATTTATATCAAATATAAATATTAATATTATTTTTTTAAAAAATATAATTCTAAATATTAATTAAAATAATACATGAATCAATTAGATGAGAAATTTAAAAATATATCTTAATTTCATTTATATCGTAAATTTATTTTTATAATAAATATAAGAGTAAACAATATTTTTAAATATTCTCTCCGTTAAAAATTATAAAATATTTTTTTGGGATATTGACTGTTAAAAATGTAAAACATATTTTTAGTGTTTTAAAGTGTAATTAATATATTTTTTTCAAAAGTATCCATAATAAATAAATTACTTTATATTTATTTTAAAGTAAAATACCCTATTAAATAAGAATAAATATAAAAAGATAGTATTAGTTTGAAAATAATTAACTATTTTATTAGATTTTTGATTCAATTAAAAATGTCTTATATTTTTTTACTGAAGTGGGCATATATGCTTGACAATTTTAAAAACAACGTGGGACAATTGATTTTTTACAGGGGGAACAGAAATTTGGGGGTAGTGTGTAATTTTGTTAAAAAAATTAAAAAAAAAACAAGAAGAAGGAGTGAACATTTTGCAAATTTCTTCCTATAACGTGGGAACGTCCCTGGCCAGGTATGATTTTGCCTGCACAGTTTGTGAAGATAAGATCTACGTGGCAGGGGGGAAGTCCATGCTGGCGAGCGCCAGGGGCATCTCGTCAGCTGAGGTGTATGATCCAAACACTGACACGTGGACAACGTTGCCTAATTTGCGCATATTGCGATACAAATGTGTGGGGGTGACGTGGCAAGGAAAAGTGCACGTGATTGGAGGTTTCGCTGAAAGAGAGGATTCAGACAGAACAGTGCCTAGCCTGGTGGAGCGAAGCTCTGGTGAGGTGTACAACACGAAGGAGGAGAAGTGGGACCTGAAGGTGGGGATGTGGCAGCTGGATGTGCCACCTAATCAGATTGTGGAAGTGAATGAGACTCTTCTGAGCTCAGGAGACTGCTTGAATGCATGGAAGGGACAGGTTGAAGCATTTGATGGGAAGCTTTGGAATGAAGTTGATGGGTCCCGCAAGCAGAGTCTTTCAACGTTAGAAGCGAATCAGAGACTTTACCTAACCATGGCTCCAATAAGGAGTGAGTTATATTTTCTGGCAGGTTATGGTACAGTAGGAGGGCAGGAAGCAGGAAGAACAACGTCTGTTGTTCACATATTCGACACGTCAGCAACAGGGGATGCATGGAGGAGCTTCGAGCCAATGGAAGTAGAAGGAGAGAGAGAGCTTTGCGGCCATTGCTGTGTTGTCCAGCTCTCATGATGAGTTCATTATATTGAAACTAAAGCTAGGAGCAAAGTAGAGCACATTTATATGAGTTTTTATTTGTTTATAACCCATCATATTATAATGAATATGCACGAGACCTTTCAATTATATAGTCAATTTGTTGCGAAAATTTGGATTCGGATTAGTTAGTTAGTTTTCAATCTAATAGCTAGTTAACAACATATTTGTCCGCTTGAAAATTTTTATGGCAACATAATTAATGAAAACATAAGATAAAATATGAATTATTAACAAAATATGTGCATGTAGCTTGAGGCGTCACTACTACAAAAAAAAAAGAATAAATAACAGTTAATACCTATCATTTATGTAACTAATATTTAAAGTTTCTTAATAAATAACAATTATGTAATCATGATTTAAAATATAATTTTTAAGTGACAATGTTCACTATTACAAAATAAGTTTATATCAGCAATTTTTTTTAAGCCTTGGGGAGTGCTCTTATATCCAACAATTTGGAATATATGAAAGCACTTTGCAAATCGCTCCTATATGTATTAGAATCAAGAGTGCCTTTTGAAAAGCGCTCTTATATATGTAAGGTTTAAAATATGCCTCAAGAGCACATACGGTAGGAGTGCTCATGTATGTCAATATATGGGAGCCCTCTATAAATGAGCGCTCCCGTATGTCAATTCTATAGGAGTGCTCATAAAATGAGCTCTCGCATAAGTCATATTTATTTTTTTAATCTAAATTTTTTGAAATTTCTCTTTTTATGTTTTTTTTTAAAATGACTAATCCCAATATCAAAAACTAATTCAAAAATAATATCAACATAAAATTTAATATACAAGGAAAGAACTTGAAATTAAAATAGCAATTTCAATTTCCAAACTAGCTAATTTAATTTCTAACAAACCTAACAAATGAAACTATTTGTATTTTTCTAATATTGAAATCTAACTTCCTATCACAAACAGTCAATAATATATTTTAACCACTCTTCAATTAAATCTTCTATTTGCTCCATAATAAAATGTGAGGATCTTGCTCTGACAAAATACTACATAAGATATGAAAACAACATATAAGTAATTAATATTATATTAATTTAATTTCAAAGCTTTTGGCTTACATTTTCAGAAATGATCAACTCTTATTGTATGATTACTTCTCTCATAAATTTCATAACATAGTATCCACACTCCCAACCTTGTAATTGTGTAGGTACCTATTAAATTAAACAATAAAAGATATTATTATCAAAATATAGTAGAAATAAATTTTAACTTAATTTAAAATACTTTAGGAATGAAGTTATATATAATACAAGTATTTGCTGTTAAAAATCTGACAGAGTCTCTCCTATAACTTGGACATTACAATTTTTTTAAAAAATTCTATATCAATCTAGAACAGCATATTTAGAATAACAAATATAAAATATCAATCAAACAATCATTTAGATATATACTAACTTATTTTATTAAGAAAATAATACAAATCTTTATTCTTTTTCACATATAAAATTCAACAGGATTAGGCTTTTTGATGTTTGGAGGGAGACCTTCACCACCTTGATAACGTGCTACAACCTTATAATGATTAAACATACCAAGTAAAAACTAATTGTTATAATAAACATATATAAAGAAGATAGAACTAAAAACTTACTGATTAAATAATATCCTCATAGATTTATAGTTCATAAAGTCACTATCTCTTAATGAGTCAAGATAATAAATCATAGGGAGGAATGGATTGATACAAACAAGCACCCAATGTTGCCTAAGAAAAAATTTCATTAACTAAAATATGAACTAAATTTCAAAATAAATAACAAGAACAACTTACCCTGAATTGTGAGAAGCTAAAAATAATATATTTATTTTGCCTTTGGCATTGAATGCATCAGTAACCTTTTGAGAATGATACTTAACACTGTAAGTACTAGTGTTGTGAGGGCTAATAAATGAAATTTTTTTATCAATGAGCTCGGCACCACAAAAGTATGATACAAGTACCTGAAATGAAAAAATAGAAACATTCACAACTAATATTAAATAAATACCACAATAAAAAATAAAATTTAGAAAGTACCTGATGTATAAACTAATTTGTGTGGTTTGTAGCCAATCCTTGGTCAGAATCTCATTACCAAAAATCTCCTTTTCAAATTATACATTATGAATCTTATTTTTAAATGTTATCCACATAATCACTTTAAGTGCATTTTAATAAAGATATTTCAGCTGAGTAGATTCTGTGCTGGTCTTCCCTACCTTAGTTACAAAGGTTGATCCTTTTGACAGCTTTCCTTTTGCTTTGATTGGCTTCTTTACTACTTTAGATTTTGAGGACTACAAACTGTAAAATGAATTGGTAAGGCTGAAAGAAAACATAAATTATTTTAAAGAATTATCAATTATTATATCTGTAACTTAATGATCTTTGTAAGCCAAGCCACGTAAGTTCCAATGGCATCAAAGATCATGAATATATCCTCATCTGCTATTTGCACTAGCAACTTAGCACCATTTTCTATTAGGATAGTTATGGTCACCTTTAAGTGATCAGCAAGCAATAGTCTAGAGTGTATAGTAACACTATTATCATTATACATAGATCCGAGTGCCACAACACAATAATGTGGTGATTCTAACTATAATTGATATTGAGACTCACCTTAAAAATTAAAAAATTAATATTTTAAGAAAATGTGAAACCTAATTTGTGAATAAAGAGAAGATAATATAAAGAAAAATTATAATTTTAAGAAAATCTTCTTTAGTATGGAATGAACAGCTATCTTTATCACTGAGGTTGGCTTGTGGCGCATTTACAACTCCAATCATTTGCTCAAATCTCTTTTCCATATGATCCTGAATTTTTTTCCTATTCTTGCCTCCATTTTTGCCATTCTTGCATTAAAATCATCTTCAATAAAAAGTTTGGACTGATGTCCAAAGTAAGTGCCTTGAGAAATGCCAAATCTGACTCCTCTAACGTGACCAAAGACCTCTGGAGCTCCCAATACCCTACCAAGGACATCCACATGTTCACCCACATCATCTTGTGATACTAATTGTCATAATACTTCTTGTTGAACAAATTGTAAACTGATTATTAAGTAAATAATGTAAATAAAGTAATACATTAAAATATCAGTACTCACACAATCCTCCTAGACTTTTTAAGTGTGCTCATTGGGTAATTTGCCTTCTTTATCTTCTCGAGTTGTCTTCCAAACAAGAGCTCGAGAAATTGGAGCATTAGGTCCAGCCTCTTCCTTCTATTTAAAGAAGATATTAGAATGATTAAAAAATATTTTCTTATATAAATATATATATATAAGTAATACTAATAGAAAATATTAATTGGAACTTACCAAACCATGCTCAATATTTGGATAGCTCTTTCTTCTTACTCTATATTGAAAAGGAGTACTTGTGACTCTAGAGTGATTGACCTAGCTGATTTGTTGAAATTCAGGCTGCTGGCCCATTTTAATAAATTCATCCCAATGCTCTTGCTGGATCTCTAGATACATTTCAAGAGGATGAGGATTGAATTCTCCATTTACATCTTTGAGATGATATGTTGAAAGAGTAGCTCAAAATTTTCTTTGAGCATATGTTGCTTTTCTCATTATGTAATGCCTATGACTCTCATCTAGGCTAAAAGATATGCACAGATCTTCCTAGATATTATTTTTTGCTTCTTCAAGCTATGGGTCATTTTTCTTTCTCCAGTTTGCAATGCAACAGGGCACATAATGACGAGCTAAGACCCTTATATAACTGACTAACTGAGGAGACTTAACTAGTTAGCCCTTATCATTCCAATTTACTAGTAATTTACGACTAGCTTCTCGAGCCCGTATCACTGCTTTCATAATAATTTTACCTCGCTTAACCTCTTTGAATACTTCTTCTTCAGTGGGTGGAGCATCACTACTCTTCTCATGTGGGGTAGCCATTTACCTAAAAGAAAAAAAGTAGATTTTTAATAACTAAAAGTAAATTTTTAACAAATAAAAGGAAATTTAAAGAAAGATCTTACAAGTGTTGAGATTTTTTGTTCTTTTTTCTTTTTATTTTTTCTTTTGTGTGTTTTACATATCCCTCATCAATCCAAATTCCTTCTGTGTGATCTTCTCTAATATAGAAGACATTATCCCCAGTCAAAACATCAAATACCCGTGATGTTCCTATGAAAGGGTCATCCTCAATATTAAAATATTCATCCTCTTCATTACCCCTTATTTTATTTGTTAAAATAATAATTGACCAATTTTTATGCATGGTTCAATTTGACACATAAAACATTTGTCGAGCTTGTGATGCCAAAATGAATGGTTCATCTTTATAAGCCACCTTATTAAGATCTATTTAAATAAAACCTAACTTATCAATTTGAGAAGCCATTTTTATTGTCAACCCACATGCAACAAAAGACAGGTTCACAAAACTTGATATAATCCAATTCCCAAATGTGCTATATAATCTTGAAATATGACATCATCAAATAGATTGGGTTCTTGTCTTTAAAACTAGAGACATGTATTGATTGAGCTACAAGCATTATACTACTATTTTGTATAGTACTCCAAGCATCTTAGCTTTTTGTATAAATGTAAAGTCATTAATTACATAACTTGTATAAGAAAATACTTCAAATTTGAGACCCCTGGCTAAAAACCTCAATCTTTTTAATAGGTGGGACTCATTAGAGATGTGATCTCTAAACTAATATATAAAATGTCGGTTATGATATGTTGCTAGCCAAGTTTCATTCTTACCCTTATTCTGACTCTTAATTATTTCCTTGTGTTCTTTGACATATGGCTGAACTTCTTTAGTGTTGTGTAAAACATACAAGTGAACTTGCTCTCATTATGTCTTAGCTATGCTAATGAGTTTCTTCCTAATGATTCCACCTTGTTCACATGTAGTGTCCTTTGTGTACTTTGGCAACCTAATGGCATCGATATTAGAGAGATATCCAGTGAATTCAACTGTTTCTTC